ACCTGAGCGAGAGTGAGACCTCCGTCTTTACTAAAAATAGAAAAATTAGCCGGGCGTAGTGGTGACTGCACCTGTAGTCCCAGCTACTCGGGAGGCTGAGGCAGGAGGATCGCTTGAGCCCAGGAGTCTGAGGTTGCTGTGAGCTAGGCTGATGCCACGGCACTCTAGCCCAGGCAACAGAGTGAGACTCTGTCTCAAAAAAAAAAAAAAAATTGTGATATAGTAATATATGTGCATCGCTATCAACATGCAAAATAATGGCATCTAGTGACAAGCTTAATAAACGCCACAATTTCATAGTAGCGATGAGCATAGCTGATATTTCAAGAATAACAACTTTAAAGTGTTATGAAAACATCTATGAGCTCTGCTGGAGATAAAGTCACAGGTGCTACTGATACTACTGTGGTCTGTGGCCCTCCATCGTAACTAAAGGAAATACTACATTTCACTAAAACGTTAGTGGAAATAAACATGATTTTGCCCCCATTCAATTCATACATCTTTGAATTCTGCCTAGGACTCCAGGTTAAGAATCTCTGCATTAAATGACAATGGCAGCCACAGATCTAGGGGGACCAGTTCCTTGTGAGTTTATGAAGCACTTACAAGACATTACCTTGTTTGATTTTCACAGTAACCTGAAGTAGGTGCCCTTATTACCCCCTTATAGGTGGGGAAACTGAGGCTCAGAGCCACGAAGCTGATGTGGACACAAGCAGCCTCTGGCAGGGAGGGGAAGGGCATAGGAGCTGAATTCAGGGTTTCTCTGCCGAAGCCTGCACGGTTTCCCCAACACCAGCCTGAGCTGGGGGGCGAGCAAAGGCAGAGTGGGGGCGTAGCCAGGCCACCAAGCACGCCCCTGAGGCCCGAGGCTGTGAGGTGGGCAGTGGGGACCAGGCCTGAGTACGGGGGGGTGGGGTTGGGGGAGGGAACGGAAGGCAGGCGTCATTGGACAGCAGCAGCCCTGTCCCCACCCAGCTCCCAGCCCAGGAGGGACACAGCTCCCCAAGGTTCTCACAGAGGACCCCGAGGTTCGGAGGGGCCTTAACAATCACAGGGCCCCCAGCCCATCCTCCTAGCTGGCTTTCCCTTCTTCCCTCGCTTCGTGCGTCACTCGATTTGGTCAGCATTCCGTCTGTCCCTTCTCTCCAGCTATGGGCAGGGACAAGGTGACACGCCCTTCAAGGCTCTCCGAATTCTTCAGCCATGAATTCACCTGTTTGTGTCATTACAATTACAACCCCGATCATTGCACAGGATTTTATAGTTTAGCAAACGTTTCCACATACTTGCTCTCACTTCAGCCTCCCAGGAACCCGGCAGAGAGGGCTGAGCGGGCGTGTTAACCCCATTTTATAAACGCAGACACACGGCCCAGCTGGCTAAGGAGCTTGAGCCAGGTCACGCAGCACGTGCTCGGCAGAGCTTTGGGGGTGTCCCCTCCACTGGCTGTCCTGCCGAGGTCCGAGAGTGCCCCTCCGTACCCGAGGGCTGCGCCTGTAGCATCGCAGTCGCTCCTCTCTTGTTCTCCTCCCTCTCTCGAGTGCACGCTCCCGAGGGAGCCCCAGCACCTGGCACGGGGACCAGCACGTCACAGACAGGCCCCTGTGTCTGCTGAGTCTCGAGTGAGTGGGTGAGAACCTTCGGTCTCCGGACCCCACGCCCACCCAGGCCCGTGGGAGGAGGAGGATGCCACGGCGACACCAGCGAGTAGAATGGAAGCCGTGGGCAGAGGTGCTGGGGAACAAAGCAAGCCCACCACACAGAACGAATCGGGAAGGCTTCCTGCAAAAAGCAAGTTTTGAGCTAGATTTCTTCCAACTTTTAAATTACGAACATGTGCAAACATGTGGAAAGGTTGGAAGAATGGTGCAATAAACACCCATGAATACCCCAGATCCACCAATTGTCAATACTTTTCCGTACTTGCCCTGTGCATTCATTTGTGTGCGTGCATATTCACATACCCTTGCCGAGCTATTCGGATGTAAGACATGCAGACACCCCTAAGCACGTCCGCACCACCTCCTAAGACTGGTGTGTGCCGATATTCCCCACCCTTGATACAATTTTTATACTAAGAAAATGAATGATCGTCCCTTAATATCCAGCTCAAATTCAAATTTCCCCAGTCATCCTAATTTCTTTAAACAAGGATTCTATCCATGTTCGTGCATTCGCGGCAGATAGTTCGTGCCGTTGGCTGAGCGGGAAGCGGGCCTTCTTCGTGGGAATGCTCTGAGGTCGCCGTGGCGCTGCCGTGGGCACGGTGGCCAGCCGGAGGGTGAGGGGCCTCGGAGCTCGCGCTGAGAAGTTGGCTGTGATAATTCAGAGCAAGGAGGGGCAGAACCCGGACTGTGCACAGCACCCGGGAAGGCCACTCTTGCTGTTGCTGCACTGACCACACCCGGCACCACGTTGTTCCCTGGCCTCCACCGCGGGTCAGGTCCCGGGATGCCCTGGGATAAGGTGGCCCCCTCTGGCCTCCGTCTGGCCTGCCACCTGCCTCTCTGTCCCTGTTCTCCCCTGCTCCCTTCCGCTCTCTCTCTCTCCCGCCCTCCTTTGCAGTTAAGAACTTAATCAGACCAGCTGAAGAGCCTCCTGGGAGAACAGCTGGCCCCAGGGACACAAATAGCTCCAGCAGAAACCTTGTCTGCGCCAAAGCCTCCAGCCCTGGCCAGAGTCGAGGAGAGTATGGAGGGCAGGGAGGAGAAAAGTCAGAAAACCCCCCCGCCCCCTGTGAGAACTACACCTCAGGACTCAGGGGGCACCACCCTGCCCAGCCCCTGCCACCTGGCATAGGGAGAGGCGAGTGGCAGGGCACCCCTCTGTAGAGGCCCTCAGGTCAGGAGCACGAGCCTGACACCCAGGGAAGAGGGCCCCCACGCGGCCGTGCTCAGGCCGCACTCTGCCCTTCTGGCCTCACCCTGCCTCATGGCCAGGAGTCTGGGGGTGCCGGAGACATGCCCACCCTGGGGTCACCGCCCACCTCCCCGCAGAAGCAGGTTCCTCCTGCAGGCCCGAGCTCCCGAGGCCGGACAGCACCGCCAGTGTGGACAACCCTGGGAAGGAGCGACCTACACGTATTCCGGCACCTTCAGTGGTGTCCGGTGAACGCCTGAAATGCCACCATTCACCTTTCTGGTGTTAACCATCAAATACTCCAGGAAAGGTGACACATTCAGTTGCAACATCTCTCTGTGCCTGAAGTGATGAGACCCCTTGGTCCCAGGCAGAGGCTCCTGGTGTTCATGGCTCTCGGGACAGAGCACGCCCCACCCCCACCCTCAACACGCACACTACTGCCCAACCTCATTATTCGGGGCATAATTGAGGCTGAGAAGAAGACTTCCTTGCTGTCCCTGACCCCAAGAGCATGGTCTGATGGTCTGTTCTCACCTCCCAACCTCCCAGGCAGGGGTCAGCGGCGTACTCTGAGGCCCCCCCAATTTCAGATTTCTGAATTATGGTGGTTGCTAAGGGAGTTGGTGGTTCAAATCTCCATGGGTAAGTAGGAAGTTTAATTGTGGCATTCCAGAAGGCTACTGCTACCCCCTAATAGTGTTCCCCTTTGTGTCTGATTCTCCACCACTAACAATTCATTTCTCCAGGTTAATCGTTAGGGGTGCAGGGTGGTGGGAGGGCTGCCTACAAATGTGTGTGTCCTCAGGAGGTGGTACCCGCCTCATGACCGTGTTGTTGAGACTGAGTTCATCCGATCTCTTTTCCACGCATCCGGGGGGTCTGGGCAGGAAGAGGATCGATCCCCTGTGCCCGCAACCGGGAGCTCCTTGCGGGGGGAAGGGTGTGTGAAGGGGAGGTGCGGAAACTCGAAGACCCACTTCAGGCTTTAGCTCGGGAATGTCACTCCCGTCACTGTTGTCAGAGGCACAGGCAACGGGGCAGCTCATGCCCCATCCATCCATCCATTCGTTCATTCATTCATTCATTCATCCAGTCAGTCCATCCTTCCCCAAACCTGCATTGCACAGGCCCCCGTGGGAGCACGATGACAAGGTACAGTCCCTGCTCCCACACCTGCTGCTCAGCCGTCTCACCTGGCGCCGTGGCTGACTCCTCCACCTGGGTCGCCTCTCCATCAGCCCACGTGCTGGAGGCCTGCGTGTACCCTTCGGCCCGGTCCCATCCACAAGCCTTCCCCACCCTTTCCTCATCTAGAGGCACGCGTTACCCTCCCCCACCAACGCTGGCTCTAAGCGTCGCCAACACAGTTACCACTTTGCATCGACATCATGGCTTTTACTCATCAAGTCTCGCGTCTCCTGGAGAGCAGGGTCCCTGCCTTGGTTTCACGTCTCTGTGCCTCCCCAGATGTGTGCACAGTGCTCGATTAATGCTTGAGGAATGAATGAATGATGAATGAACGGATGAAGGGTGGGTAAGTTCGGTTTCTTCAGGATAATGTCAAACCCAGACAGTTCTAAGTGTCCTTCAGCAGTGGGCTGAAAGCATTTAGAAACTTAGGGTGTTTTCCTGTTAGATTGACATAGGATGTAAGCATCTGTTTTAAATGTGTGAGTGTGCGTGTGTGTGTGCGTGTGTGTGCGTGTGTGTGCGTGTGTGTGTTTTCCTCTTAAATCACAGGCATGAGATTGTGCTCAGCCATGCCCAGTATGCTCCCTGCTTTGTCTGGAGTTGGTGGGGATCAGGAGGCACCCTGGGCTTGCTCACAGCGATGCTTTAAGAACTGTTATAAGCAGGAGAGTCCCCTACTTCTATGTTCTGCTTATAACGTGCCAAGTTTATTCACAACTGCTTCTCACAACAGCTCTATCTTGTCTTACAGAATTACAAATGATTGCTCAGAGAGGTTAGGTGACCTACCCAAGGTCACCCGGCTATCAGGGCAGAACAGGTCTTCTCACCTGGGTCCCTGCTCTCCTCCCTCCCCCATGGGCTTCCCAGTTCTCCACCCTATCTGACAGAGGGACCCAGGAAAGACCCACTCCTGCCCTGTCTCAGCAGGCCCAGGGGCCATGTCCCTCATCTCCTGGCTGCGGTGGCCGGAGGCCCCGCCTCGGCTGTCGTCCCGGAGCCCAGCTGAGATGGTGCTGGAGACGCTGATGATGGAGCTGGCGGGGCAGATGCGAGAGGCCGAGAGGCAGCAGCGGGAGCGCAGCAACGCGGTCCGGAAGGTGTGCACCGGCGTGGACTACAGCTGGCTGGCCAGCACGCCCCGGCCGGCCTACGACCTCAGCCCCGGTGAGCGGCTGCAACTGGAGGACGTCTGTGCCAAGATCCACCCATCCTACTGTGGGCCTGCCATCCTCAGGTGAGCACGCGATGAGGACTATGGCGGGGCTGCAGGCTCCAGGGAGGGTGGCTGCAGTGCTAGGGGCCCGAGGCCACAGGACTAGAGCTGGAGGCCTAGATGACCCAGTTATCTGTGAGAAGGAGCAAGGGAGGAAAAGGAATCCGAGAGAGGCCATGGAATACCAGGCCAGGGCTGGGCGTTCAGAGGGAGGCAGGGGGCAGCTCCTGGAGGAAAGCGAGTTTTGATGGGAGAGAACTCAAGGCCTTGGGCTTCCTGTTCTCCCTGCTGGGTTGTTACCATCCTGGATTTGTACACAGCTACCTCCTGCTCCTTTGCCAGTTTATCTTCAATATCACCTTCTTAGAGAAGTCTTTCCAGACGACATCTCCAAAATTGGTTTCTAAATTATCCATTTTATATTAGCTTGCACACTAGTCTGCCTGTGGGGTGAGTGTGAGTGTGTGTGTGTGTGTGTGTGTGAAGGAGTCAGAGCTCGGGGGCACTGAATATTTAGAGCTTGGGTACAACAATGCTCCTGAATATAAAAGTAGCCATATAAACGTAAGCTCTGGCCGCATGGTCCTGTCTTGGTAGGATTGGTAGTAAAGTCAAAGAAGCATCTAGTCCAAACAACCGAGAGTACTTTCAAAATTATTCAAGTTCTTTAACTACATTTCTCAAGTTCTTCACCTGCACTTATCCTTGGAAAGGAGTACAAACCCACAATCAAACATTTAAAAATTCCCCTTCGGCCGGGCGCGGTGGCTCACGCCTGTAATCCTAGCACTCTGGGAGGCCGAGGCGGGTGGATTGTTTGAGCTCAGGAGTTCGAGACCAGCCTGA